TCCTAGTAAAGATTTCATATCCATGCATGAATATACATTGAAAGATTAATCCCATCTGTGCAAAAGATGTTTATTTTTTTTAATTACATGATCCTTGGCAAGGAGATTTCCAGAAATATTGGTAGTTGATATAACCTGCAGAATCAAAAGACACAAATTCAAAGCCCTGGAAACTGTCTGTGTCCCATGGCCAACAGCGATCCAAAACAGAAAAATGAAAACATTTATTTAAAATTGTTTTTATTTCTGAACAAACTGCTGATTCTGCTACCACCACTGGGATAAACATTACTAGGAAGATCTAGAGAACTGTTTTTGTTTGTTTGCCTTTAAAGGCTAGTGTTCTTGTTGGCTATGGTTACAATTGCAGCACAAAGTTATACAGCCCACACTTGTAGTAGTTGCAATTAGGTCTTATTGGAAATCGTAGATCTGTCTTTCTGGACATCCTGTGCTGATGTGCTCCTGTTACATCTTCCAGCACTTTCTATATAAGGCATTTTAAACTAAAAAAAATACAAAGTATTTACATTTAATACATGGTGGCATCATCAGTACTCTCACCTGGAGTCTTTGGTTGGCCTGCTATATTAAGTGATGTCACAAGTGCTTTGGGGGCTTTTTAGAATATTTTTCCATTGAAAAAAAAAGGTTTAATGATTTCCTACTTCATCAAGGCTGTCCAGTGGGGTTCCATCACTGTAATTCAAAGGTTAAAAAAAAGTAATTTTTTTTTTAAAATATACACAATATAAATAAGTTTTGAATTCGCATTATCTACCTCCAATTGGTTTCTTTAATAGGCAAAATATTTGTAAAATTGTATAATGCCTTGACACCTGATGCTCCCTTTATGTGTTCTTACTACTAGTTGGATTCATAATTTTTTATACCATTGCATATTTATATCTTTCACTGTCTGTTTGCAAGGCAGAGATGATTTTGCTTTACGTAGTGGTAGTTGCTTCAATATTTAAGCTACAGAACACCTACAAGTTTCCCTTTTTTTTTTTTGGTGTTCAGCAGCTGAAGTATTGAAGCAACTACCACTACTGTAAGCAAAATCATCTTTGCCTTGCGAACAGATAGTGAAATATATAATTAGGCAATGGCATCTAATAGGATACAGTGGAGGGATGGCAACTTTTGGCCTAGGAAACAAGTAAAAATTGACTTTTTACCACACAAAACTCATGGATCTTTTTGCACATGGACCTGCTTACATTGCGTAAAAGATATAAGGATCTAACAAAAGGAGGCTGCAGAAATTGCAATTAGTGACCTCATTTATCTCTACAATCTCCATCAATATATAAATGCTAGTTATTATTATTATTATATGGCCTGTGCAGCATGAGGGAGCATTGTTTGCATCCTAAGTAAGTAACCAACTGTGTTTCTCATGACTCTGTTGACACCAATGCCTAATCTCAATCCGCAGCTACATCAAAGATATTTATCATAGTGTGACAGACTGGTCAGTCCCAATTACTACAGTCTCCTGGGAAATAACCCAGTGGGCAAGTCCATGCATAGGGAACATTGAGATTTTGGACCACCAGTCAAGCCACAAACCGAACACAAAGCTGTGATGGCAAATGCCCTGCACAGTTCTTGCCTACTGTCTCACAGCTGTAGTATATTGCTAACAGACATCATCCCATTACACCTCAAACTGCTTATAATGAGCAGAAGAATGGTGCTGTGAGGTCTTGGCCCACAATATCTGTATGCTAGTGGACTGGAAGCAATTGCCCACCTGCTCCTATGCCAGCCCTTCCCTGATGGGAGAGCATGATATAATACATATATAGTAAATCACTTTCTTCTCCTTTGAAGATGTCTTCAAAGTTACATCTTCTGGTTAAGGTTAAGCTGCAAGTTGTAATCTATCTAATTGCATATTGTTGGCTTTGCCTTTTCTAACCAAGTTTTGTCCAGTGCCCTGTATGCTGATTTTAAGTTGCTGTTCTTGCTAATCCTGACCACACTCTCTGTCCAGTTTTGCAAACATTTGCAAAGTTCCTTTTGTCAATATCCCAGCCAAATTTGCAAAGGATGGAGAAAAAACAATGCAAAGTCTATATCTAAAAAGCGATGCAGCCTGAGTTAGGCTCTTTCTAAATAATATAAAGTAACTGTTTTGAATTATTAGTATTTAAATAACCGTGAATTAGAGAATGACCATACAAAATAATTTTGACATTCTTTAACCCCTTAAGGGCCAAACTTAAGGGGTTAATGTCACTGTACATGTTCCCAGGTTTGCCCTAAATATATAAATGGGTATACTTCACTGTATTCTTCTACATAGTCACATATTCCTTTTAAAGAATGCTAAGCAAGAGACAAACATGTACAAAGCAAACAGCATAAAAAATAAAATGGCCTTTCACAGAGTTGTGGACTAAAATTGTTTACTAAAAAAAAATGCAGATTTACCTTAAATGAAATGCTTTTGGTGGTCTGATTTTGAAAAACATGTATTTGTAATTGTTTTGCTTCTTGTTTGATGACAATGAACTACAGGCCATAAAAGGAAAATTGGAGTCTGGATATTGCAACGGGCATGTTCTGATTTGTTGTCTGTAACTTCCAAAAAGCTTGTGAAACCTGGGCATGTAGTCTATTTCATCACCATTTAATTCCAACACAAATTATTAAACTTTTTACACAGTCCCCGGTACCATCCTTGTCAAGTTACAGATTGGAGATGATAAATTAGTATGAAAACTCTTCTGGTTTGAGTGTTTCCAGTACATATCTGTGTGTTACCTTAAGATCTTCAAGTATGACTCACCTTTAGAAAATGTAACACATGAGAGCAGACAGGAGGAGCATTGATTATTAAGTCTGAAGTCCTCATTTAGAAATTGATGTGGCTTAATATACCATTAACTGGACCTACCACTGGTCAAACTATACATTGAATGTACACTTGGCAAAAATAGCAGATGGTTGCCAGCGTGAACGAGGGAACTGCTTTTTTCTTTTCATATTTTCATAAATCTCAACATTTTGAAATAGAGGTAGACTTTATTTTTAGGGGTGTAATTGGGGGGATGGCCAGTGGTTAGGATGTTCTGATTAATTTTAGGTGACTTACTAATAACAATCTATGTAACAAAAAGTAATTTAGAACAAGAGTGGTGTATTTTACTTATACAGACTAGTTTCTAAACACATTTATTGTAGTTTAAAACATATTGCTGTGACTATTGTTGTTGTGGTGTTCTGTTATGAACCCAGACGCACCAAGAATGACGAGCTTCCACAAAAGATGGGCACTGGGTAGAAAGATGGGACAGAGGAATTTGGGCTCAAAATAGGGACAGTCTCTCCTAAATAGGGACACTTGAGAGGTATGCCCAAGTCTCCCTACAGGCTGCATGTAAAAGGTTTTGGTAGAGGCACCTACAGTTGTAAGGAATATCACATATTTTAATGGTGCACAAAAGGCATAGCATTTCTTTTGTGTAGACCTCCTCTTGCCAAATTACATTGTCTTTGCTAGTGAAGTATGCTAAACCTTCCATCCAAGATAAGGATTCAGTGAATTAAGAATGAAGCACAATGAAGAGATTAAGCTATCTTAATGTAACTCCATTCTTAATGGCCAAATATGAATGTTTACAATATAATAATCTGAACATTGCTTAGTGATACACAAAGTTAATTGTCTAATAATATGTTAAATTGCATTGGTTAAATAACTCTCAAGTACATACAGCCTTATTCAACAAATAGGCACTCATACAAAGGCAGTGAGCAAGTAAACACTTGTTTAAGACGTGTTATTGGCACACAAATAAGCTCAAGTGTGTTTAACCACTATTTAATTGTGAGTTATGCCAGGTAATTGAGATCTATTTTAAAAACACAGAAAGTAGGCCGGTGCTCAAACTCCCACAACAGCAATGAGTATATTATTAATCTGCCTAAATGCATAGCCAATACAAAGCCAAAAACATGACATTGAGATCTAATGAAAACAGCATTTACCTGGGCAATACTAAGGGTTAAAGCATTAATAGCAACAATAACACATTGTGTTGTTAAAACTATGCAAATGTAGGGGAAATGTATGCAAATAGGGCATTGCTCTACTCGAGAGATGAATCAGAGCACACATCTGAGATAGTTGTACTAGTAGAACAAGGTGTATGACATTCACCATTAAACTTCAATCTGTATTTGGAAAGAAAAGAAATGTGTCTGAAACAGATGATGAAATGACCCGATGAATAGTCTTTAAATATTATATTTTAAATATTCTGTAAAAAAAAGTTACAAATGATATGCCATGGTGGAGATAAAGTGCTTTACGGGATGCTAAATTGTCCCCAAAGTAGTATGAGCTCAATGAATCAAACAGTGAAAATTTGAATTTGAAAATATGAAGTTGACATTATGAAATTTGACCATATAACTAGGTCTGTGTGGGGGATTTCAGGACTTAGCAGCAGTAGCAGAACACAAGTCCTGGGTGCGACAGAAGTGGAATTACACATAAAACTGTATATTTGAAAAATGCATAGAAATATAAAAACAGCAGTATATGCAGAGGTTGGTTCTAAAATGGTTACATTAGTTAAATATTATGCGTTGTCTACTTTCTACTAATTCCTTTTTGTGTTGTGTCTGTGGATTCTGCTGCTGCTCTTAAAGTTAGATTTTCAGTATACCAGATTTGGCAAAAGTTTACTTTTAAAACATTTACTGGGGGCAGAGCCTGACTGCTGAGGGAGAAAGCCGTATGGTGGCAGAACTCCACAGTTATTTCTGAAAACTTGCCTTTCTAGCCATCCTTTTTGGAAGATAACCCTAAATAGAATTGTAAATCTCAGCTAACAATCACTCTGCCACACACAGAACTGAACCAGGACTGATTACTAGTCCATTCTTCGAGTAAAACCTGTGTCGGACTCCCTTAAAGGGCCTACTGGGTGACTGGGGATGAGGGAAGCAGCCGGTCTCTTGTTCAGAGGTGCCCTGTCACCATGTGGGCTCTGTTCCATACCCCTCCCTCCCCCATCTGGGCCGGTGGGGGTTATCCAGGCCTACCCCAACCGATCCAGTTTCTCATGCAGATATCTTCTGAAGGCCACCGTACCCCAATAAAACAGCATCTACCTGAAGGTTCCAAAATGGCCGACATCTGTGCTCTAGCCGAGCAGGACTTCCTACAGTTTCACAGCTTGTGCAGAGCCTTCTGGCTGAAGCTTGAACCCCCATCTACATCCAAGGTGCCTCAGCACACCAACCCATTGCAGCATAACCCACGGGTTCTGAGTCTCTGGAGAGTCAAAAGGCTCCCATTGACGGCACCCAACTATCTTCAGGCAGCGGGCATGTCGGGTCCGTCGACCGGCACACAGCTCCCTCAGCCGGAGGATCCAAAAGCAGCGGCAATATGGGCATGCAATCCCAATACAACGATGCAGCCCAGCCCCCGGTAAAACTCAGAGCACTAGATGCTCACTGAAGGGAGAGCACAGCGCTACAGTCTACAGTAAGACCTGGAGGCTGGTTGGTGCATGCCAGCGACTACAGGAGACGGTAGACCTTGAAATGAGGAGGCGGCAGGCCCCACTTAGGGATCGATCTTTGGGGTCCCGTGCCCTTTGAAAGGGAGTTGGAAAGACTCTAATGACTATGCCCCTGCACACGGATAACTTTTGGTGCAAAGTTGTTGGGTTTTTTTTATTTGTACTTGTTTTATTTGTACTTGTTTTATCTTATTCTGGTGCCATCTCGCTAAATGCCTTACTATGCCCATGAGAATATAATGCTTTGTCAGATCTACTGACAGTGTTAAGCATTATTAGCAAATGACCATGCACTAGGTTTCACTCATGTAAGCTTCTGCTAATATCAATATAACTTAAGCGACCATCACCTTTTCTTTCTATTGCTAGCATGTCAGTACTTTATACAAGCATATATAGACCAAGCATGTTCCTATGTTATATAGTTTACATAGTATGATATGCCTACCATTTCTGTTTACTGACATATTAAGCCTGACTAACATAATGAAAAATGTGCTGTTGTGGCAGTGTATGCATTTTTGTCAATCTTTTGCACAAACAAAAATAAAGAATTTAAAAAAAAAAAACATATTTACTACTTACCAAAATTGTCCTATATCTTTAAAAAAAAAATAAGTGATATTTAAGTCTATTTGCAAAGCAATCTATACATAAAATTGATGTGTTATACGTTTATATGCAACTCTGCATCCCTTGCTTTAAATACATATTATGCTAAATAAAATGAGGCATTTTCACAGTCAGGACTCATATATTTAAACTTATTTTGAGTTATTTTTCTTGTTGTGAAGAAATTATTATATAAAGATATATTTTTTAAATTTCCCTTTTTCATATTTTATATAAAAAACTGACATGGGGCACTATATAATATATACTAAAAAGAATATATGTACATGGATATATAGATATATATTAAAAATATATTTTTTTAATTTCCCCCTTTACTTATTTTATATAAGAAACTGAAATAGTGGCACTATATAATATATACTAAAAAGAAAATATGTACCTGTACATGGATATACAGATCCATGTAAAGAAAAAAAGAGATCAGGTAGAAATGTTAATAGTAGTATTCAGATATAGAGGATACAAATTCACCACAATACTATAATAGCGCTGAAACATTTTACAAAAATATCTCATATTGCTCACACTCACATGCATAAGAGCAACCCATTGCTCTAATTATATGTTTTTGTCATATAATCCCCATTAGGACTCAATCAAATGACAATGATGACAATAACAGATTATACACTCACATAGTCTTGAGCTCTTATAGTTCAGATAAAACATTTTGATGGTACAGTACCCAAGATGGCTTTAAGCTGCATATTAAAAATAAAAACTTAAATTTATAGGAGTAGTTCGTAGTTCAAATCCAATTAGCAAGAAAATTTAATTGTACAATGTACACAATGATGAATGATACAATATAAACCATAAATGCACTCTAACATAAACATCAGTGTGATTTGTTCAGATAAAGGCTGCAAAGTTATATGTGTTATAATTTACACAGTGGTTTTGGTGTGAATTAATCATGAGACTTTGAGTGCAAAGAGAGTTCTGGACCGGATAATCTTAAATCTGTGCGTATTTTGCATCCATCAGTAGCACGCAGAGTGTGCTGGAAACATATGACCATTGGCAAGGCAGAAAAAGCCAAGTCCTGCCACCAGCTCTTTCTCCGGGACATCCCTCCCCTGCAGTGGAGGAGGATCGGGATGCAGGGAGAACTTGACCTCGAAGTAAGATCACAGATTAGTTGTATTGTTCATTACTTTTTCCACTGTAAAGGGAGGAACATGCCAGCAATGTATGCCATAGCCCAAACAATGTTTTATTATATGACGCTTCATAGGTGGAGTACTCTGTTAAGAAATTGACAATAGTAATTAATCAATAATTATGTGCATAATATACTTACATAATATAAAATATACCATTTAATGTAGTATCAATTATAACACTTATTAGGAGGATTACCTCTAGAAAATTGATGGATTCAAATTGGAATTATTTTATACACACATTTTCACTGAGCAAATTACTCACAGGTTCATTGTATTTTACACTAGTTTTATTTTATTATATTTAATAAGGAATGTACCAAAAGCCACACAGGTGAAATGATCTAACCAATCCAGGTAAAGGTACACAAAAAGTGAGATAGAAAGACATTGCATTTTTTATTTATTTCAGAGTGCTTGAGGTTTTTATCATGTTTCTTTAAATGATATACTAAAATTTTAAAACATAAACCAAAACTAAAAGCATGCCAGCACCAACAGCATTAGAATGAAAATGTTAAGAGAGTATGTGCTAACAGTGATAAAGGGTGATCACAAATCTAAAAGGACTTGAAGATTTGCAGAGCTGACAACACCTAAAATATAAAAAAGATAACAGGAATTACAACACACACCATTTGTTATTGATATGTGTAACAAGCTATATTTGTTTTAAAGGGCGTTCCTAGTTTCTTAAATTATTAGAAGCTATAGTCAGTGCTAAAAATACTACTCTGATAACAGAAACCACATGCATTCTCATATATACACATATACTGGGGTTACCTATAAAGGAGCCAGTGCCAATAAATCACCTGCTCCCTACTTGAAGAACAAGAGAGGCAATGAAAAACCACAATTCGGATTAAAGAGTTTGGGAACTCAATAATTCTAAAATCTAGAAAGACTACTTTGTTTTATGAACATACTGACCCCTAGTAACACTTATTTACATACACATACCTATACATATAGAGAGGTAATCAGACTCATATACACATCCTAATCGCTGTCTTTTCACCCAACTGACAAATGTTACATGTAAGTTGGTGGAGCTGTTTCCTATTAAGTAACAATGTGATACAATGTTCAAGCATGTGCTTAGATACAGCAAAATATGCAACATGAGTGTTAATTTCAAACCACTGTCAAACAATCCCATGCAAAATTGTTGCACTTAGCACATGGGCTACCCTTATGGAGCTTAGCCAACACATCTGCTTGTCAGTTTACCATGTGTGTACACCAAGATGACATAACCTTCCCCTATCACCAGTCATTGATATTGCATCACTGGTATATTCTCTTCTGGGCCATCTCCCTCCTTATATCACTCTCATATCAATCTTAGGAGGAATGTTATCTCTTGTCATAAAGAATGAGATAACAAAATATATATTTTTTTTTTTTTACAAATAAACATTTGCAAATGTTGTTCCGGATCTGAAATATATTTACATACCTGATGGTTCCTGATGGTATTATCATATACATTCCAAGTTGAATTAAGATCCTAGGTAAGGACTACAACTCCAAATTAATTTAAAGGAGGAGGAGAAAATTAAGTTAAATATAAATAAACTAAAACTAAATCACTATATTTTGGGTAACAGAGCGAGTAAGAGTCTTACTAGGAGGCTTCGCAATCAATATGCTAAAAATAGAGTAGAAAAATTGGTAGTTGATCAAATTGTATACTCCACTCCATCAGGGATTGGACAAAAGTTTAATCAGTTTTATCAAGATCTGTACAATCTAAGGTTGTCCCCAGAATTAAAGGACATCAAGAGTTATCTATTAATTTCCTGAATCCCGAGAATTTCTTCCCAGGATCTGACCATTCTGAATAAAAAAAATTCTCTTGAAGAAGTGCAATTTCAAATTGACAGACTAGCTATAAACAAAACTCCCGGTCCTGATGGCTTTTCAAACCTTTATTATAAATATATGAAATCTTATCTTTTAAAACCCCTTACTGAAATGTTCAATCAAGCAGCAGAAAATGAGGTCATACCAAAGGAATTATTACAATCAAATATTGTCCCTATCCTAAAACCGGGTAAAGATAGTACGGACCCAAGAAATTACAGACCGATTGCACTAATTAATGTTGATATGAAAATATACTCAGCTATTATTGCCGAGAGATTGAAAATGGTCATCACTAAACTTATTCATCCTGACCAAATAGGGTTCATCCCAGGAAGATGGGCATCAAATAACACCCGAAAGCTTATAGATATTATTGGTCTTGTTAAAGTTAACAAAGAGCCCCTCCTGGCCCTGTCTTTGGACGCAGAAAAAGTGTTCGACAGGGTTGGGTGGGGCTATTTAAGTGAACTCCTTAAGGCATACGGCTTTAGGGGTTGGATATATACCGCAATTATGGTATTGTTCTCTGATCCCTCGGCCAGAACGGTAGGTCCCAATATTACTTCGACGTGGTTCGATCTTAAAAATGGAACAAGACAGGGATGTCCTTTGTCACCGCTTCTTTACATCTTATCTCTTGAACCTCTTGCTGTTAATATTAGGAATAATCAGTTAATAAAGGGGGTTTCTATGAAATTTCAAGATATTAAGATTGCATTATATGCTGATGATGCTCTGGTAACTCTAACATCTCCAGAAGATTCATTGGTATCATTAATGGAAGAAATTGTTAATTTCTCTAATATCTCTAATTTCAAGTTAAATGTTTCAAAATCTACTGCTTTAACTATTAATTTACCTTTGACTCAGGTTGAAAGGCTATCTCAAAAATATCAGTTTATTTGGACAGACTTAGAAATCAATTATTTGGGTCTTAGCTTCTCTGCTAATGCCTCCCATATAATGGAGAGGAACGTTATGCAGCTAATGAAGGATATGAATCAAAATTTTAAAAAATGGAAAAATTTAGAAACATTATGGATAGGCAGAATTAACATTATTAATTCTTATATTTTACCAAAATGGTCGTATTTGTTCTCACTGGTTCCCCTTAAAATCCCTAAGGTGTGGCTACTTATGATACAATCTGCCATAAATAAATTTATTTGGAAAAATAAAAAGCCTAGAATAAGTCAAAAATATATTTCTAACAAATTGTCCCAGGGAGGGTTAAAC